CAGAGTCACTCATTTGAGACCTTTCTTGCCCATATCACTCAAGAGCACATTATGGGTGTTGGGAACAGCTTCTCATCCCTCAGCACAGCCACCTCACTGTCTCAGTTACTCACTCACTCGTGCATCGAGTCAATGAGTAAGCGTGTTTTGATCACTTCGTTTCTGGAAGGCACCATGCTAGTGAACAGACAGGACCCTGTGGAGAGTAGACAGCTGAGAACCAGGGAGTAACCACAAACAAAAGGCAGCTGAAGAGCCTGACCATTTCTTTCTCTTTCTAAGTTTTTATCATGAATTGAGTGACCATTTACAGACCAGATCGGTTTTGCATCCAGCAGTTCATACACATTTCGTTCGTTTCCTGTCATCGATTGCAGCCTTCACAGGGTAGCAGCATCAGTTGTACATGTTCCCTTTGTTTCTTGCTTTCATTCCTGCGTCTGTCCTAAGCGTTCTGAACTCTGTCTCTGGGTATTGCTGGCCTTCTGATCTCAGCTGGTTGGCTATCTAAGGTGTGTGCCCGTCCTGGTGTCATCTCCTTGTAGACCTACCTGTCTCTCGCTGGATTGACAAGGTCTTGATGGGAGGGCTTCATTGGGGACCTGAGTTACTGTGCTTCCAGGGAACACAGCATAGTCACTGCTGTTCACAATGTATGTCCTTTGTTGTTGTTGTTGTTGTTGTTAAGGTCTGCTGAGTAGCTTGTGACTCATAGCGATCCTGCGTAGAGTTTCCGAGGAGCAGCGGGTGGGTTTAATCCACCAATCTTGTGGTTCAGACTGACCTTGTAGTCCAGTGCTTATCCTACAGCACCACACTAGGAGTCCTTCAGCCCTTTGGTAGTTGTGTGCTGTGAAGTCAGTTCCGACTCATAGTGACCCTGTATATAGTTTCCAAGGCTGTAAATCTTTACGGGAGCAGAAAGCCTTATCTTTCTCCCGCCGAGTGGCTGGTAGTTTCAAACTGCTGACTTTGAGGTTAGCAGCCTGACTTGTAACCACCATACTACCAGAGCGCCTTCTTCGGCCCTTTAGTAATCAAGAAATGTGAGAGTTTATATACTCAGTTTAATTAGGCATGGAGGCATAAGGCAATATAGAAAGATTTCAATGTCAAAAGATAATGCTCAGACAAGAATCAAATGCATACCTGTCAACCACATTCCAAAAATAACTCTGATCCCAGAAATGTCCCTGTGATACAGACAGGAAAGTGTTTAGGACTGAAACCTTAAACTCAAAAAGCCTGCCTCATTTTCAGCCTCAAACTCAAGTTGGCTACTGTCTGTAAAATGTAAATCACCCTTCAAAAGTTATACCTAGAGGTATATAGGGAAAATAGGGGAAGGTAGCCGAGGCTTTTTTATTACAGATTATTATTTTATAATGCTGTTGTTGCTAAGCGCCGTTAAGTCGGTGCCGACTCATAGCGATCCTCTATAGGGTTTCCGAGAAGCGGCTGGTGAGTTTGAACTGCCAACCTTATGGTTCAAACCGACCTTGCGGTCCAGTGCTTTATCCCACAGTGCCACACCAGGATATACAACGACATGTGTAAGGAAGGTTATGAAGAATACATTGCATTGACTACCTGAATTTTTAGCATCTTCACTTACAGACCACAGGACCTGAGCCACTCAGTTCCCTCGGTCACTAGAAGCCTGGCGTGCTAATTCTGGCGGTGTTGGTGGTTCCAGGTTCCCACTGAGACATGCTTTCCTAGGGGACCCCGTGGTACAGCGAGTCCCAGAGACCATCGAGTCGCAGAGACATAAGAGGGAAGAGTCTTTCAAGGTGAAAAGACTCTTTTCCCCAAAGGGAGGAAGGGTTTTAGTTTGTTTGCGATGTTCCGGATGATGATTATGTGAATATTTGCACGTGTGAATATGTGTGTTTGTGAGCCCTAGCAATGCTGTAGGATAAGCACTGGACTGCTAACCTCGAGGTCAGCAGCCACCAGTCACTCAGCAGGAGAAACCTGAGACTTTTCTACAAAGATTTACAGCCTCAGAAGCCCTATACAGGGTTGCTGTGAGCTGGAACCAACTGATGGCACCTAACAACAACAATATATACACACTTGTATGTATGTGCGTGTGTGTGTGTGACTCCAGGGGTGGTACTGTAGGATCAGCACAGGACTGCTAACCACAAGGTCGATGATTCAAACCCACCAGCTGCTCCTTGGAAACCCTATATAGGATCTCTGAGTGGACTCGATGGCACTTAATGTGTGTGTATGTATAGTATGCGTGGTATATAAATATATATATGTAACTGTCTTTCACGGTGCAAATCCCTTTCTCTTTCCCTGTCTTCCCTATCTTCTATACTCACATCTAGGACACATGTTTGTTGATGTTAGTGCCGCTGAGTTGGTTCCGACTCATACTGATCCTGTATCAGGTTTCTGAGGAGCTGCTGGTGAGCTTGAACCACCAACCTTGCAGTTAAAACCGACCTTGCCGTCTAGTGCATTTTGTTGTTGTGATGTGCCATGGAGTTGGTTCCGACTCACACCATTAGGGAACTGTAAATGGTTGCCATGTGGAAGGAAACAGTCCCTTCAGACCAGGCAACTTGGAGAGAAGGCCTCTTCAACCACCTGCCCATTTGCTGCCTCTTGCAAGTATTAGAGCCCCGAGAGGTGCACTTAATAGCTAACTAATTTTACCCTCCCAATGGAAAAGACATCATGTTTAGTAAGGTGGAGGGTCAGAGAAAAAGAGGAAGACCCCGAGCAAGATGGATTGGCCAAGTGGCAGCATTGGTGGGCTCAAGCGTGGCAACAATAGTGAGGTTGGCCCAGGATCGGGCAGTGTTTCGTTCTGCTGTGCATCAAGTTGCTATGAGTCTGTACCAACTCAATGGCACCTAACAACAACAACAATGGAAAAGAAGATTTAGGACAATGTAGCTTCCATCACTTCTAAAATCTGTGGTCAATGTCGTCACATAGGTAATTTGTGTCTGTTTATAATATGAGTGTTGTAGGCCAATGAAGAACCAGGCTCCTGAGAAATTGGTTTGAAATTTCTAACCATCTTGTTAAGTAAGGATTATAATGTATCCAAGAGGTACCAACATTTAGTCAACAAATTAGGGTTCTTGATTTTTAAAGCTATAAATAAAGCAGTACTCTTATTTTCTTCATATCAAATCATGTTGCTTCTTTTTCCATATTCTTTCAACTGTTTTACTTTTGTTTTCTTCATAGATTCTGGGTTGAAATTTCCCTTCCCTTAAAAGTTGTGTTTCTGTCTGTTTTCCCTATT